CAGCGATTGAGCGCCACAAGGCGGGGTGGGTATCTTTGCCCTGGTAAGGAAAAACGTCATATGAACATTCGAGAGTTGCCAAACTTCCTTCGATAAAATGTTTATTTTTGAGGAAAGTTATAAATATTCTTCCTTTACATTTTCAGAATCTTTAGGTGAAATCCTGAACAAAATTATCTGAAAAATTGGGAGGAAAATATTCGTAAGTTTAACAGGAAATTCGCGTTTTATCAAAGGGAATTTGGCAACGCCTAAGGGTTCATATGGCGTTTTTCCTTAGCACGGCAGATCTCGCACCGCGACGGTTATACGTTCGTATCCGACGTAAAAGATAACCGTGACATTACCGTCGCTCAGGTTGTTTTCTTTTTCTTCTTCTCTTCGTCAAGCAGGGGTAGACTAACACTACTTGATGTATTGGCCAAGGGACTTAAACTGTCACCCAAAAAAAAAAAAAAAAAAAATGTCGGGAGGAGTTACAGCTGAATTTTTTATGAAAAAATGTTTAGTTGGGAAAAGAACAACCATTCATATATTTAGGTATTCTTTGTGTCCTCAGAATGATCATGGATATGCGGCTGACGACTCGAACTAGCAACATGAAGAATGATATATTTTCTCGTAAAAGAGCGATGTAGGTGAAGAAAAAATGTAAAATCTAACTGAAGTTCCGGCGTTTTTGCTCTTAACGGCTGTAAGACGTAAGAGCCTTTAACTGGTCCACGGTATGCTTTTCCATTGATCAGAAGTCAGACCAGTATGGACCAGAGAATTGTGGGATATCTGTTCAGGCTGATATGTATCTATTTTATCTAATTGTATAAGCCTTTTCGGTATAATATTTCCCCTATGAACTCTTTCCTGTTTTCTTGGTCAACCAGGGCCAAGGCTACGGTTTTGTCGGCCGTAAGTTTCGAAACCTGACCTCTAAAGACTTCAAGTCGGGAAAAGTGTACTTTAAACACTGGGAAAAAAGTCTCTTGGATCTTAAGTCTGGACCCTTCAAGAATTTGACTGTAAAAAGTACTCTGCAGTCCATCGGATTTTCGCTTGAATTAAAAGGAAATCTACTAAAAACAAGAAGCCTGCTTCTCGATTCTAGCAAAATTTCGATTGAATCAAGAATATTTTTTCTTGTCGAATCTTTCAAAGTCAGGACTCTAGATTCAAGGGACTCTTTTTCCGTTGAGTTCGAGCTGTGCGTAAGTTGAGCTTTTTTTACAGCAGTCTCGAGAATCCTTACTTTCTCAACAGTGAAAACCGTCAACCAGCGATAGACAAACAAAGTCAACATCTATGCTTCACTGCTGATGACGCGCCTAACGGCGGATACCGACCACCCAAAGTGTATATTTACTTTATAGTTATTCAGTATATGATTTAACTCTTTTTATTTTTGTTTCTTTTGTTCTCTCTCTCGATGTGATTTAATTTTATCTCTTCTGTAACCTTTTGGTGGCAAATAAAAAAAATGAAAAAAATCTATGCCTCAACATGCGGCCGACCACAAAGCCGCAGCCAACAAAATTCGGGACACCTTGATGGACTTTTCAGACGGAGCAATAAAATGAGAAACTGCCAGAAATGACTAATTATGCGTAATCAAACACAAAACAAAGCTAGAGGAGAGAGAAAGGCAAAAAACGATACTGAAATATCAACCGCAAAGTCAATGGAAAGCCTCGCAAAAAATGGTCTTGGTAACGCCGCTCATAACTACGTAATAAAAACAAGTCCCGGAAGCGCTCAAGAAATGATCTTTCATCCGTCAACTTTACGTGACGCTCCTCTCGACATTTGAAAGGGACCGTGCGCACTGTGTCCGGTGCCGTTGTTGGGGTGCTTTGGCGGATGAGGAAGGTGACTTAGCATTGTGTCGGTGACATGGGACACAAAACGAGGGTGAGTTCTTTGAGAGGGGAGGTCGGAGAGGTGTTCCATACTCATATCTCATGTTCAGTCGCACTCCCTGTCAGAGTGATCCTCTTCTCTTTCCTATCTCCTTTTGTCACTTGTCTTGAGCTATGTGTCGTCCGCCGCTGGCCGCTAAGACACACCGACCATTGAGCTTTTTCTAAGAACTCGGGGGTCCTTTTTAAAGGGCGCTATGGAAGCCACCCCGATTGATTGTTGGAGATAAGCTTCTGTTTGAATTTTTAAACTCCAATTTTTGCTTCAGGACTCGGAGAAATTCTTAGTGATTCTTCAACTTATTATTTGTTTTTATCCACGTTCCTTTACTATTTCCATGCTTTCTTTACTTCACAGAAACAAGATCCGGGTGCTGGCGAAACTCCGTTTTAATCTGCCCAATAATTATGTTAACTGGAACAGCTACACGGAGAAAAAGACTTCGCGCGTGGGACCCGAAGTTTAGGTCATATGGATCTCTGAAGTTTTCGGATTGAGCATCTGAACACTTTAGGTCTAGCTGTCGAGGTTCGGATAACACATCTGAAACTTCAGTTATTACATCTGAAGTACTTCAAATGTGAGAACCGAAGTTTTTCGGATGTGAGAACTGATGTTTTTTGGATGTGAAAACCGAAGTACTTCAGATGTAAGAACTGAAGTTTCAGATGTGTGATCCAAACCTCAGCAGCTGATCCTAAAGTGTTCAGATGCTCAATCCGAAAACTTCAGAGATCCATATGACCTAAACTTCGGGTCCCACGCACGAAGTTTTTTTCTCCGTGTACTAAACTGAGAAAACGGTTGTCAATGGAGTGAAACAACTGAACTACATTTTGCAATTAGGAACTGCGATTTCGGGCTCATCCATGAAAACAACTATCTGCATGGGAGTACTAATGACAAATTTGTTGTTTCTACAATGAGCCAGAAATGTTAGTTTCCAGCAGCAAAATCAAGTTTTGTTCTCCGCGAGGCTCCTTTTCATGTACAACAGTTCATTTTCAACTCACCAGCAATGTCCATCATGACCTTTCAGCGTTTTTATTTTTTCTGATCGGTTAAAACTCTCTGGCACTCCGACCATCAGCGGCAATAATAAAGAGTTTCCACGTGGTCTAGCAGTGGTATCATCATGAAATAGCTCCCTCACTCGGAGCACACACAAATAAGAGCTGTTTACCCA